AAATGGCGGCTGAGCCCTGTGGACATTCTGCAAATTGCTGAACTTAAGAATCAGTTGGGATTGATGCATTTGGAGGACAGAATACAATCCGCACAGGACAGACTCTTAAAAACTGCCAATATCACAACCACTGTGCATGATCAAATTACAGAGAAAACCATGCACATTTGCAAAGAAGGGCAGGAAATTAGCATTACTACGCAGCTGTGCTAGAGCATCAGCAAAAACAACACCCCCAGAGGTGTGTTATTTATTTTTTTTCAATTTAGTGGTACAAGACTAAAAAAGTTCTCCAGAGCTTCTGGCAGAAGATGCCTCTACCATTACAAACTGCAGTCCTGTGCAAAGCCTGGTGGAGTTGCAGCCAACTTTGCACAGGCATGCACACACACACACATTCTGAACACTCAACATGTTCCCCCGTATTATGAGATTGTGTGACTCTTCCTATTTTTCACAGTGGCCGATAACAGAATCCCCTAGTGCTTGGCAATATGGAAAATGGGGCTTCATAGCTGCTTGTCAGTTTCAAAAAAAGTCTGTTCAGTTTCAGCATCAGTTTCCCCTTTGCCTGCATTCCTTTCTGTTCTGTTCCCATTTCATTCAATGAACTAATGCTAAAATGCATGTGCAAAACTTGAACCAGGAGGATTTAAATGGAAAGTGCTTGCTGGATGCTACTGCACAGCTGTAATAGGGAAAATGCATAATTTTTTTAAAAAATGGACGCCACCCCTCCCACATGTCACAAGTGATGTTCCGCCCCAATTTAGAAAAGTGAATTTTCTTGATTGTAGCTGCAGAATAAATACACTGAATGAAAAAAGAATGGTGCGTAAGGCGGGCACAGGATCCAAAGTCAAGATTAAAGGGTTACTACTCTGAAAATCTGCAGTAAGATGTGCATGCATAATGGGCCATTGTGAGCCACCCCAAGCCCTGTGACCCAGAGGAAGACAGGGTATAAGTCTAAAAGTAAACTTAAAAAATAAAATAAAGCTTTACTCTCAGCTTTACTCCAACATGATTTCACTCTCCCCACCCCTGCAAGCTTTTAAAATCAGGACTCTTCAACCCTTCTAACTGCTAATTCTGTTCTAGGCAATTGCATAGAGAATTCACCCTTGAAAGATTTATGACAGGATTCACACCTTTAAACCCTTGAAAGATTTATGACAGGATTCACTTTTTACCTCAACTCCTTCCTTCTTTACATAGAAAATTTAAACCTGAAAAACTGTGACAGATTTCACACCAATTCCTAATGCTGATTGGAGGGACATGACAAATGACCTTTTTTGCACATCGTGGCTACGGGCTTGAACCCAACCATCACTGGGCTAAGCCCTAAGAAATAGTTCCACTGTGACGAAGGTAACATCTGAAATGGCCCCTTGGAAACATAGCATAACCACCTATAACGTAGTATCTGAGAGCTGGTGTGGTATACTGATTGGCTCTCGGACAAAGATCTGGAAGACTTGCATTCAAATCCCCACATTGCCATGAAGCTTGTTGGCTGACCTTGGACCAGTCACTCTCTCTAAGATTTATCTACCTCAGCAGGTTGTTTTGAAGATAAAACAGAGTACAGGAAAACAATGAGTTCCTTGGAGGAAGGGTGCAATAAAAATGTATTAAATAAATATCAATAACCATAAATCCAGCCTTGCTGCTCACTCCCCCCAGTTCCCTAGATCAGAAGCCTTTGGGATGGCGAGTAACCCTTGTCTTCTCATGTGATCCGAGGGAAGACTCCTGTGACTCACCTTGTGGTTTCTTCAACTGCCCTGCAGTAAGCTTTTAAGCTGCAGTTGTGTAGTTCATGGATGTCTGTTTCCATTCCTTGTTTGCCAGCTTTGGGGATGCAGCCTGCTTTTGAAAACCCGCCCTGTGATTTACTGGTGAATGATCTGAAAGCATAATTGGCAACATCCTATTTTTTGAAATGTCCTTGAGTTGTTTAGATGCCACTGAAAAGAATTTGATTGGTGTGGAGGTCAAACAAGGGTATATTTTTTCCCCCTGCAAGAGCTCTAAATCTCTACAGCTGTCTGGATCCCTGGTAGCATATTATCATACTTTAGCCTCCTGAATATGGGGGTTTGCTGCACTTTTTGATTCATCCATCAACAGTGTTCTATTTAAGATTTCCTGCTCCTCTCAACCAAAGCCATACTCTAGTAAATAAGCTCTTGAATTAAGCCCTTGGTTTGTCACTGAGTAAAGTATGAGCAAGGTTGCCAGATAACAATTTCAATGGAAAGGGAGACTGCCAAGCTGGAATGATTATTCCACAGACTTCCAAAGGGTGACACAGAATTCTGAAGCAATGGGCAGATATTTGATACAAGTACATCCCTTAAAAAGAAAGGTTCCTGGTGACCCTGTGATGATACAAAGAACTCTAGGTTGTCTCTACATCCTTGTGCTAAAAGACTAAAGGATGTGCTAGAATCTGCTCCTGAGTGTGAATGAAGGAATGGTAAGGAAGGCAATGATTGGCTGCTGGTGTCAGGCCTCCCAATGGGACTGAACTTTTGTTTCAGTGCAGGCGTCCTCCAGTGCAGAAATGCTGAATCACTGGCATGCAAATAAAATTAAGAAATTGCTGCCCAAGCCTGCTCTTTCTGGGAGGGTTTGGATGGCAATCCACAAGATGGGAAAAAACTGTTAACATTTCGAGCAAGAGGCTATCTTGCAAATTCATTCTGAAATGGGTGGGAAAGTACAGGAAAAACTAGTTTAGGGAAAAACGGGACAAGGATGGCACAGGGATGTTAATGAACTTTACTGGACACAAGGGGGAAAAAGGTAACATACAGGAATTAAAATGGAACATTAGAGCAATCGGGAAAATGCCTTGGCAATTTTGGGAAACCATTCTAAAAGAGCTAAGGCACTTCAGGGCTTAGGGTACCCTCTGATTGGGCAGAATAACCCATTTCAGCATTGTCCTACCTCTAATGGTCTTCAGTTGCCCTTACTGACATTGGCACATGGCTAAATCTGATTGGCTATGTGACATTGTGATGTCATCATATCAAGTACATGATTCCTGATTGACTGGGATCTCTCAAGGAAAAATTAATCATAGAGAAAAATGGCCACTGAAGCAGCAGCAGAGTAGGAAAACAGTGACAATGAACACTTATAAACAGGTGGGTAGTTGTGGTGGTCTGAATCAGCAGAACAAAATTTGAGTCCAGTGGCACCTTTAAGGCCAACAAAGTTTTATTCAAAGCTTACGCTTTGGATGAAACTTTGTTGGTCTTAAAGGTGCCACTGGACTCAAACTTTGTTCACCTATAAACAGTTAAGAAAATGTAGACTAAAGGCTTTTTCATGAGAAGGGGTTCAGCCTCCCCTTCCAAAAATCACAACTTTTAATACTCAGCGTGACCACAAATCATTAGTTACTGTATTTATTAATTTGCCTGTTTATTTGGAATTTTTGGCTTAGATACTTGTTACTAAATCAGGTATTTTAAGCCAGAGCTTTAAAAAGACCTGTTGGCCCCATCCTCTAATCGACCTGACTAGACTCTCTGATATACCACAATCACGGGGTGGCCAAACTGCAGCTCGAGGGCCACGTGCGGCTCTTTCACACAGTCTAATTTAATGTTCATAAAAAGAAAATTTGCATATTTTTAAATAAAAAATATGTGTGTAATATTTGTTCATGTCTTCTGGCTCTCAAACATCTGACGTTTATTCTGTGTGGCAGTTATGTTAAGCAAGTTTGGCTACCCCTGAAAGGTTCCTCCATTTGACCTATAAAAATCCTCCACTTTCCAACACCCAATCCATTAAGAATTTGCCACACTCTATCGATCAAACACCGCTCCATGATCCAGCCCACTTACCCACTTCTAGCTCCATCCCCCCATCAAGGTATTTTAAAATCACAAATGGGCAACTTTACTTAGTGCATGAAGCCACCAGTTTGCTATCCCCACTGGAGACACTTGCTAGGTTCCAGAGTGTGTTTGTACCTGCAGAGCTTACAGCCTTCTACCAAGCTGCATATGAAGAAGGGCTACAGTTCACAACACCCCAGACACCACACCCCTGTCTGAATTTTTCTTAGTTGCTTCTCTGTGCAGAATCACGTTGGAGAGGCAAAGAAGATGTGGGTGATCAGTGCTGGCAAAAGTCCTTTTGTGTGATGTAGGGAGGGCTGCAACTGATTGATCACAGTGTTTGATTAAGCGGCACTCCTGATTAGTGTTCCCTCTAAGCCGAGTTAGTGAGAGCCAGCTCACAGTTTTTTAGCCTCTGGCTCACACATTTTTGTCTTCGCTCGGGGAGGAGGGCTCCCAAGCAAACCGACTTATGCAGTAGCCAAATCGCTCGCTCACAACTGTAATGCCAGCTGCTCGGAAGATAGAATGTTTGCTTACAAGACTCCACAGCTTAGAGGGAGCATTGCTCCTGATTAACTGGGCAACAGAATTTTTAAAAATATTTTCAATATAAATATTTTCAGGTGTATGGGTAGTAGCCATCTTCTTAGAGGAAGTATTCCTCCTTCTCTGAGTACACAGGAAGGAATGCTTTGTCTGCCATGGTGTCTGGTGTATGACATATGATGACATACTTCATCTGAAAGCAAAAATGATGTGTTTTCCCCCCCTCAAGGACTATTGTTTATTCATATGTAAATGTATGCAGTTTTAGTCAGTTAATCAATATATATGCTTAATTGGCTAGGATCACTTTAATTGAGGAACAGGGCTGGATGTGACTGTGGGATAGCTTCAGAAACAACTCTTTTGTTGTAAAAACCAGGGCCAGTGCTATCATTAGGTTGAGCAAGGTGGTCCACCTTAGCCAGAAGATTTGGGTGAGCAATTAAAGAAAAACAAAATTGCCTATTGCTTAGTTTATTCCTTTTCCCCATCTGTGTGGTATTTGACTATTTTAGTTCAGGCACCAAAATTTCTCAGGCTGTCTCTGATTCTAATGGTTTTCCTCTTATCTTTCTGCCTGTCCAGGTTTTGGGATGTCCACCCCAGCAACAGTGGCTGGAAAAGCCTTCCTTATCATTTATGGTCTCTTTGGGTGTGCCGGAACGATTCTCTTCTTCAATCTCTTCCTGGAACGGATCATCTCGCTTCTGGCTTTGGTCATGAAGGCTTGCCATGAGAGGCAGCTGCGGAGAAGCGGTCTTCTACCTCCAACCTGCCGAAGGGGCTCGGCCATCTCTGACGCAGACAGCCTGATTGGGTGGAAGCCATCAGTCTATCATGTGATGCTGATTCTGGGAATCTTTGCCATTATTCTCTCTTGCTGTGCCTCAGCCATGTACACAGCTGTGGAAGGGTGGAATTACATCGACTCCTTGTACTACTGCTTTGTCACCTTCAGCACCATTGGATTTGGCGATCTGGTGAGCAGTCAAAACGCTGTGTACCGAAATCAGGGATTGTACAGATTTGGGAACTTCATGTTTATATTAATGGGGGTATGTTGCATATACTCTCTTTTTAATGTCATATCGATTGTAATCAAGCAGGTTTTAAACTGGATGCTAAGAAAGTTTCGATGCAGGTGTTGCCCTGATTGCCATAAGCCAACCGCTCGCCTTGGGCGGCGCAATGCCATCACGCCGGGATCCCGTTTCCGCCGGCACAACATCTCTATGGAAACCGACGGACAGTATGACAGTGACACAGATGGGAGAAGGCTCTCGGGGGAAATGATCTCCATGAGGGATCTCACCGCCTCCAACAAAGTCTCTCTGGCACTTCTACAAAAGCAATTGTCTGAGACAGCCAATGGCTACCCTAGGAATGTCTGTATAAACACTAGACAAAATGGCTTTTCAGGAGGAGTAGGTGCTCTAGCCATCATGAATAACAGACTGGCAGAGACAAGCGATTCTAGATAGAAATTTTGAATTAATCTTCTATAGGACAAAGACACTTTCTTATTCTTTAATTAATAAAACAATATAAAAATGATTCAGCTGATCCCGAGGGTAAGTTTATGGAAAGGTTTGTGGGGTTTTTTTAAAAAATACATGCAATTTGTTTAAGAAAGGTTTTTTAAAAAAGAAGTTCCCCCAAATGTATCAGTATTTCTCACTCTTTTTTTGATCCTTACATAGAGAATCATGATCAGTGCTTGTAACAATGAGGCGCATTACTGAGTAATGATGGAGGCTCAGTTCAGACATCATGACTAACTGTGGTTTAAGTACACTAACTGTGATTGGTAGGCTGATTGTCCAAATCTAGGCTACTCCAGTAACTATGATTAGTTACGGCACATCAAACCAGGATCTGAAACTGTGGGTTAGAATTTTTTTTATTCACTACAGTTATGGCTCACCTATGATTTCGGCTGACAAACAAACATGGATCTCCTGGCTCAATCCCAATTTGTTCCTGGGCACTGTTGTCACACTGGTGTATGCTGGGACAGGTGAGATGGGGGGAAAGAGCAGAAAAGTGACAACACCTGCATTTGTCTAGGAAACTAGGGTTTGAATGAGCACCTGCAAGTTGAGTCCTGGTTTCACAAATTAAGCATAATTAAACCACGATTTTCCATTATGTCTAAACTGAAAGAGCATGGCTGGTCACCATAATTTTAAACTCAATAATATTTTGATATTTTAAAGGATTACAATGCCACAATGATGGTTCAGAATACTCTAGATCTACTTACTTCTATGAAGAACTGATTGAAATGCTTAACTCTTTCTTTTTTCCCTATGTTGTTAATTACATTTATGTCCCACCTTCCTTCTATGGAACGTATGGCAGCATACATGGGATTTCCAGAAGGTCTCCCATCTAAGCACTGGCCAGACCCTACACCTGCATAGCTTCAACAAGATTGCAGCAGCATGTGCCTTTGGATCACGACCGAAGACTCTATTTATGAGTGTTATGAATATGCACTAGATGTCGGGTGAAGCTTTAGTGCTGCTTTTCACACTTTTAAAATATGCTGTTTCATTCCTGGAAGGCACATCCAAGTCTGAAAAAAGTCTATGAACACCTAAATAAGAGAATGATAATGCTACTATCAGTTACGTAATATTTTTAACTTCGCAAAAATGCTTTCTAATTTTGTACAAGGCAGGTTATTGATATCCCTCCCACTTTATAGATGGGGAACTGCAGCTGAGAGAGAGCGATTTGCCCAATGCCACCAAATAATTCCACAGCAAAGGTAGCACTAGAACTCAGGTACCCAGGATTCAAGTTCACTAGACCCCCTACACACATGCATTGCAACCCTAAACAGTGTTACATCCTTCTAAGCCTTCTAAGACTTCATGGGATTTAGAAGGATGCAAATTTCTTTAGAAATGTGCCAATAATCTCTGACATACAGCTCTAATTCAATTAGGGCTGAGCCAGAATTACTTGTCTAGTTTTTCTGCTTGTTTCTGTGCTCATCATCAAATGCCATTTTCAGCAATGATTTTCACGTTGTTTTTATGTGGTTCAGAGCTCTTTCATTGTTCCGGCTGCTGCCACTTCCCAGTGCCATTTTCTTCCTTCTTTGCCCTCATTGTTCTTAAATTCATTTACCCTTCAATCCACATCAGTTAATTGGCTGTGGCAACTCACATGATTTTGTCCATGGTATCAGAAGACTAAGGAAGTAAAGTGCACTGTCAAGTCACAAGCAACTCATGGCGACCCCATGAAGTTGTACCTCAATGGATTTCCAAGGCATGAGATGATGAGAGGATGCTTGCCATTGCTTTCCTCTGCATAGCATCCTCAGTCTTCAGAAGACTACATCTGACATAAGATCTTCATGAATGTGCACAAATGAAATCACATGGGTCATCCTCCACCAAGCAGATTGAAAGCAGTGATATCAAGGAGGATTAAGAATATGAATAGATACTGGCAACAAGAAGATGCAGCGGCACCCAGGGAAACCAAAGGGTGCGGTACCCCATAGAAAGAAAGCAACTGTTATTGATGATTATTTTTGTGGTAATTAGTTTGGTGGGATCAAATATGCTCATATCAAAGGAAATATTGAAATTAGCAAACATTTGGTGCAGCCTGCATTTCAAGCAATGTCTCCACCAAATGTTTTAGAGGGCGTCAGATGCACACTTGACCTCCACGAATCACACATGCTGAGGTTTTCAGTTTGCACTGACCGTCTGCCTATCCCTTCTGGCAGCTGAATACTCTTGTTGAGGCTTTGGGTATTTCATGTTTTAGAGTTTCAAAATAAACAAATACAATCCACATTTTCTTAATTGATTCAAGAGTTAGCTTTTGCTGGCATAAGATTTAAGATGCCGCCTTATACTGCATCAGTCTACCAACCGCCACTGTGGTCTACTCTAATGGGCTCCCTGGCAGAGGTCATTCCAGAGAGAAGGCGGCATGGCTCAGGGACATAGCGTCTGCCTTGCATACAGATGGTCCCAGGTGCAAACCCCAGAATCTCCACCTTTAAAAAAGTATCTGATGGTTGAGGATGTGACAAGACTTCTAGCTGAGATGCTACCAGTTAGAACAGAAACCACTGACCTTGATAGACCAACAGTCTGAATCAATATAATACAGTTTACTGTGCTTGGAACTGATACTTGAGCTCTTTTAACCTGAGACTCCAGTGACTGAATCTGGGACTACCTATGTATTCTAACTAGTCCCTGGTTCTCTGAGCTACACTCCTTATTTCGGGATTTACACTAGTGTAGAATTTGGTGGGGGGGGGTTACTATCAAGTATATATTAAGCTGTGCTTGCTTCCAAAAAAATAGTGGAAAGAAAAGATTGACTCTGTGCATTACATATAAAGATCATGCATTTGCACAGATGTGCATGATTTGGACTACTTGTCCCAGCCACAAAGAGAGACAGAATAGGACAGTGAAGAGCCATTGTCTGATTGCTGGAAATCCTGCTCTGTACATTCTAGCAGCTTTGAAACTGTGCAGATGCTCACAAGCCCTATCTTTGCAGTCCAAAGGACTAAAAAAAAAAGTCTGCAAGTTTTTAATGTAAGTTTACTCTATCACCATATTGAAATCAATGCCCACTTTGACATACAGCTAGGGCACGAGCATGTAATGTAATGCACACAGCAGTGAATGTATATCAACCTGGTATCCAGGTTGTACAATTTGCTCACCATATTTGTGGGCATGGTACAGGGAGGAGCATAATTAAAAGCTATCTTTTCCTCTTCCCCAGAACTTTTCTCATTTCTCTAGATGAACATTTGCACAGCAAACTGAAAGAGAGGGAAACAGCCATGCAGCTTTGTCCTCAGAAGGATAGTGAAAGAATCGGATACCAGGTATGAAATCTGCATAGTTTTTATCTGCAGCCACTGCTTATCTTATGCTTCCATCATAGATATGAATGGAAGAAGGAAAAAGAACATGAATGAGAATGGCAAGAAGGGCAAAAAGAGCAGCGAAGGGCAAGCTAGGACAGAGTGAAGAATGTGTTGGGGACTATATCAGTAGACCTCAGGGGCTGCCAGTAACTGTGCATTATTTGCTCCTCATCTTTAAAGAGGAGCAAGCAATTTGTGTGATTGTTGCCAGGAGCTTCTCATATCTGCTCAGTGAGAGGTGTGGGAAGCCTCTTCCAGATTTCAGGGTATTTGGGACTCTTTTTAGCCTCTCCAGGGGAAGGAGTAACATCTTAGAAGGAGGGGCCAGAATCAAGAAGGCAGGATATTTTCTGTTTTGCTCAAACTCAGATTCTGTTTTGCCTGTTCAATCTATTCCCTCCTTGTCTATCAAGCTGTGCTCTGAAGCACCGGACACTTTCCCCAACAGGTCAAGGGCATCCTTGACACTCATCTGGCGCCCTCAGGTTCCATCCTTGTCCCACCAAGTTTTATCCCATGTCATTCGCCACCCGTACACAATCACATACACATGGAGCTGCCTTAATCAAACCATCTGGTCAATATTGTATACTTGGACTGGCAGTGGCTCTCTAGGGTCTCGGGCAAAGGTCTTTCACATCGCCTACTGCCCATTCCTTTTAATAAAAGGGGAATGGTGGCACAGAGGATTTATCCTCTGGTTAGTAACATCTGAGCTGAACAGTATAGCCGTCAGTTCTAGCCCCGTGTTGGTGTGAGCTACCAGCCTTGTCCCTAGCTCGCCATCCACCCAGCGGTTTGAAAGCTTCGGCGAGTAGTTAAAATGGGTAACACTCCTTAGAGAGGGTGGGCAGACCAACCCCCCCACGGTGGGGGAGGTGTTAGCCGGCGACAGGAATGCTCGCAAGATTGAAAGCCTAAGAAAAAATCTCTTCGACTTCGAGAAGCCTGTAATGGGCCGTTCCGGCCCGGCGGTGGCAGTGCGGCACTGCAAGACCTGGAGAAGCTGACGTCATCTAGCCAAGCCGAAGTGAATATGCTGACAGAACACGTCTGACCCACAGCTGAACAAACCCTCGCCGACTGTGAATGTGTGTGATTTAAAAGATATATATTGTCCTCCCTTACCCCCATAAATCATTGTTAGTCCCGTGTGAATGAGTAACTGTAAATCGCTCAGAGCCAGCAAGCTCTGCAGGATTGAGCGATTAATAAATTGAAAGATTATTATTATTATTATTATTTAACTGGAATGCCAGAGATTGAACCTGGGACTTTCTAACTGTTGTTCATCAAATCTGACATACATCTCAGGTCAAACTAGAAGAGTATCAGAAGACTTTTTACAATTAATATGTGTCCATGGAGAACTTTGAATCTCATTGCAGTACTCATGTGTGCAGGGGCAGTCTTAGTGATTCTGGGGCCCTGGGCAGAAGTCCAAGGTGAAGCAATTCTGGAGCCTCACCTTGGACCCACCTGGGTCCCTCCAGGCTGAAGCAAGGGGCAACCCTCACCCCATGCAAGTCAGGTGAGCAGGTGCAGTGTGCTCACCTG